AGAGTTCACCTACAGGGCTAGGAGTTGGCACAGGGGGGGAAGTGAGCATGGGGATTCCGAATACAATATTAGTTTTCAGAATTATCGATTACTTTTATTGATTTTATCGATTTTTTGTAAATTTTGACATGCGAGGCTGGGATTTTGCACAGGGGGGTAATCGAGCATGCTGATTACGAACACAATATTAGTTTTCAGGATCGTCCATTACTTTTATCGATTTTATCGATTTTTTTGTAAAGTTTGACCTGCGGGGCTGGGAGTTTGCACAGGGGGTAATCGAGCATGCAGATTACGAATACAATATTAGTTTTCAAGATCGTCCATTACTTTTATCGATTTTATCGATTTTTTGAAAATTTGAGCTAGGGGGCTGGAATTTGGCACAGGGGTGTAATCGAGCATGCTGATCACCCCCCTTGGGGATGATCAGCATGCTCGATTACCCCCCTGTGCCAACTCCCAGCCCCCTAGCTCAAACTTTGCAAAAAAATCGATAAAATCGATAAAAGTAATCGATAATCCCGAAAACCAATATTGTATTCGGAATCCCCATGCTCGATTACCCCCCTGTGCCAACTCCCAGCCCCGTAGCTCAAACTTTGCAAAAAAATCGATAAAATCGATAAAAGTAATCGATAATCCTGAAAACCAATATTGTATTCGGAATCCCCATGCCCGATTACCCCCCTGTGCCAACTCCCAGCCCCGTAGCTCAAACTTTGCAAAAAAATCGATAAAATCGATAAAAGTAATCGATAATCCTGAAAACCAATATTGTATTCGGAATCCCCATGCTCGATTACCCCCCTGTGCCAACTCCCAGCCCCGTAGGTGAACTCAGCAAAAAAATCGATAAAAATCGATAAAATCGATATCGATCGATGACGAAAAGTAGCCTATGACACCCGCCGGGGCCCGTAGTGTATGTGTGCCAAGTTTGGTCCGGATCGGTTCAGAAATGGAATTTTCTATTCGGAACATACGTACACACAGACAGACAGACAGACAGACAGACATACAGACAAACAGACATTCAGCTTTATATATAAGATATGATTGATAATTTTTATACTTGCTGAAATGCAAAGTTAGTTACTTCGATAAAGTGAAGTTTGAGCAGTATCTGCGCAGTGAAACATGTGAGACAACCCAAAGTACCACTGCTGGAGTGGGTAATGGGACAGTTTCCAAACCCACGACGGCTTGGTGGCCTCAACTTTCAAAGTCAGGAGATATGGCCATTAGCAGCTTCGAGAACTAAGATACGCGTTATTCAATTCTTTGCAGGTGAACGCGTGCCTTCTAGGTAGGTTTCTAGGTACCTTCTGATAGAGCTTTTTGCGCTCTATCCATCCATATGCAGCTTAGCTCAGATTCTATCTATCTTCGAAAAATATAGGGCAAAACATGATTTTTTGGTTCTTTATTGCTGCAAAAATAGCTATTTTCAGGTTTTTTCGTTTTTTTCTTCTGAAATTAAAAAGAAATCTCATGCATTTAACATATCGTTCGAAAGAGCATGAAGAGCTCTTTCGAATGGAATGTCACTTGCTTTACGAATTTGCGGTATAATAGCGCAAGATTGAGAATTGTTCAAAAAACCCTATTCGTGTTCTTCACGTCGCCAGGCGTAGGGTAGTGGAAGAGGAGCGTTAACGCATTGTCAGAATAATAGGTAAAGGCAGCCCATGTAAGCGGCATTTAGGTTGCCGCCTACTTGCTGTTGCTCGAAATAAAAAATTCCAAAATGTAATGAAAATCAAGCTGTCCCATTTTTTACCGTTCATCCTATTACTATACAAATGTGATTAGGACTCGAGACTCTGAGACTTGTTTTTCCAAAGAAAAGGAGGTAGTAGTGAAAAAGAGGTCGCCTCCGAAACATTCGTTGCATGCCAGCGGCGTTCCTAAATGACTTGGCGTACTAGCGGCGTTTTGTAATCAGCGCTACCAGTAGCGTACCGTTGTGACGACGCGGCGTCAAATCAACGCAAGCAGGCGAGCGGCGTCCCATCACATTACCTCACGTTGTAAGTAGTAGTACCCGCATGGGATGCGACGCAGTGGTTGAGCTATCTCAGCATATACGGAGGTGTGTAACACTTCTCGTACTTGACAGAAATAAGTCTAACAATAAGATGTTACAACTGGATTGACCCGACAGCATTCATCCGAGTGTTGTAGGGGCTGATCCCCTGATTTTGATCAATGAGGTTCATCAATCGAAATAATGGGATTTTTGCGCTAATCGGCTTGATAAAATTTGTCGGAATAGCAATTTCCAAATCAGCTAATGGTAGGTGCCAGAGTAAGCAAATATTTTGTTCAGGTTGGGGTTTCGCGCAGAATTGACGTCACTTGGATTGACGCCAGCATGGTGAGTGACGTCCATTCTGCGCGGAACCCCAACTTGAAAATATTCGCTTACTCTGGCACCTACCAATGCTGCAAATAGTATAGTTTCCAAAATTCTGGTGAGATTGCGGTCCTCTAATAAAGGCGCGTACTCCTGGCGTACCAGCGGAGTTCCACAGTGTACGAGCGGCGTGCGAGTGCCCTACCAGCGGCGTTTGCGTGTTCCGCTCAAATGAGCATCGAACACCGCTGGTACGCAACGAAAGTCAGAGAATATGAAGAGACTGAGTTTGCAAAGAAAAATGTTATAGACTTCTGGATGTGCTGCATAGAGTGAGTTTTTTTGTTGATAGAACTTTCGTCATTAGAATAGCGCACACAGTCAAAAATCGGCAACTGTCGAGCTCAGGCCAAAAGAGCAGGAGAAGCTAATTGATTGATTTTGCGAAGTAGCTGATATTTGAACAAGGGTGTACGTTACTGGAAAGACTCCATTCTGAAATCCAGTGTGAAGCTACAAAAACTTTTTAGGAATAGATCTAAGCGAAACCTGTGGTTTGATCGAACTACGAAAAAGCGAAAAACTGTTTTAGTGATGGACTTCTCCCACTTATCTAGCTTCTCTAACGTTAACATCTGGATATATGATGAAATATCGATGACCTACTAATGACATCAATTTCAATCCACTCAACCTTGCTGTTTGAGAATACTTACAAGGAGAGAATATTCACTGACCGTTCCTCTTATGCAAAGATGTGTACCAGTATGCTCATCTTGGAGCGCTGATACCAAATCTGCCTTCCGTATCTGCTTAACATTTCTTTAAAACAAGTTATGAGGCTTTGCGTTGAGTTTTGGCAGTTCAGGGAATACTACAAATCATTGAACTGGCCAGTAGCGAAGCGGATATCCACTTATCCGTTTCATCACCACCCATTTCGCTGTTGGTCATCCACTAATTTGACCAATAACGAAGTAGATGAAGTGGATCACGTGAATGAAGTGCATGAAGTGGATCAAGTAGGCGTGTGCCTTACTTTGCAAGAAAGTTATTGCAGTGTGTGTTAATGCTAGCTTATATCATATCAGTGAGTCACCTCTGCTTCGCAGAGGCTCGCACTGGCTCTACTATCCACATGCCTTCCTCGTAGTCGCAAAATGATGGCTTTAAAACTAACCTCGCGATGCCGATCATCACGAATGAAATGTAAACAACTAATCATTCCAAAAGCTTTTTCATATAAGATTGGTGAAAAGAGAAAAAAATGAGAAAAAAGTATTCTTTAAAAAATTAAATGCGATTCTGAATCTATTACTGGGGTTATAATGGCTTGATAGTCGCCATAAAGATGATGACAACCGTGAGTTACATCTCTGAGCAAAAATTTTCTTACATTCGGGAACGGCCATAGGTTGTCGGTGTTGTCGGTATTGTCGGGGTCAGAGACAGTTTAAAGAGCGCGCGAAACATGGAGGCTATCATAGGTCCTACAACGACCGGCAACCTCGCAACTCCGACAACACCGACAACCTATGGCCGTTCCCTTCCAGTAAAACTTTGACAAATCGATCATCTACGCAATTATTCCTTTTTGGCGCCGATCTTATATAAAAGTAAACTTTTTGCTCCTTTTCGGGCTGCAGTCCATGATTTGCGGTTTTACTTACTAGCGAAACCATGACTTAGAAAAAAGTCCAATTCCAGGCCCACTCTGGCGCGCGGAATGTCGCGTGGATCCGTTTGACGCACAACACAGGTTCCAGTCATTGAATCAGCTTGTGCTTTTGCACATTTTACCTGCATGCTGATAGGGTGCTACTACCAAAATTCTAGCTCAAGACCTTTGCTGAAACTCGCTCTACGAATTTCGTGACAGACAGAGATTCACACACACACACACAAACGTAAACAACCTTAGCCCGTTATAAGTTACCAGTGCGTCTCCGCTTCGCGGAGGTTCGCACTGGCTCCCTATTCGTATGCCTTTCTCATGTTCGCATGAGAATGGCTTTGAAACTCACCACGCGATGCTGAGCATCACAAATGAATCGTAAACAACTGTTCATTCATGAAGCATCTCCATGTAAGATCGGTAATTTTGAGAAAAAAAACTTTTTTGCAAGGAAACAAATGCGAATTTGAACGGATTACTGAATTTATTTTAGTTTGATAATCGTCATAAGGATAGTAGTCACCTTGGGCTACATTTTAGTGCAAAAATCTTTTCAGTTTCTCCAAATAAAACCTCGCCAAACCGACTATCTACGCGTTCATCACTTTTTCGCGCTGTTTTCGCAAAAAAGCAAACTTTTTGAGCATTTTTTGGGCTAGTATTCATGGCACGCAGAGTTACTTGTCAGGCAAATCATGACTTTGCAAAAAGTCGAATTAGCGACCCAGTTCTGCGTGCCAAAAGGCGCGTGGACACGTTTGACGCGCAAATTTTGAGGGACCCGCTTATCGAAGCGGCTCGTCCTTGCGCATGGTGGGCCTACACGCTGGCACGGTATGTTATGCAAAATTGCAGCTTTAGCTTAGCTACAGCTTCCTCTATGAATTTCGTGACAGACAGATTTTACATAGACACACAGACACACAAAAAATAGACGGCCTTAGCGCGTTATCATAGTAGGATAGGATGATCATTCCAGATATCTACTTCACCCACACGCAAGATTGTTCCACATGGCAGATTCATTTACTAATGCATCGACTCACTACGGTGCCATTTTCTGCTGTGCGTTATTTGGCTTCATCTCAATAATCTAAACAAGTCTGTCCACTCTCACTTAGGGCCGCATGCATTCATCCCCACCGAGAAGGAGATCGCAGCTCAAAAGAAAGCTTCACATCTTGAAGCTCCAGATATCTGGATTTCAAGCTGTCTACCGTAAGTATTCCCACCATTCTTCACTATGAACATGTTGGAGCGAGAACCTGTACAAGCTGCGAGATCCAGCTTTTTCTATGATCCTTTGACAATCCTCAGCGGCCAACCGTCTTTCTTTCAAAGTTATTTTTCTTTCTTCGAAGTTAACGATAACGTTCCAAAGTTGTACCGATCATCTAAACCAGCACTGCTAACGAGGAAATGGTCAGAACTTGACCCAGCTATTCCAAATATATGTACATTATCGGACTTGTCTCAAAACGCTGAATTCAAATACATGTTTCTATCTGACAATCGACTATCTGGGAAGAGTTATGAGCGTCCAAATATGAGAAATGTTTCGAGTTTCAATAAATATATTTCCTTAAGAGGCAGCCTGATGGCGCGGATCTACATTGGCTATGGTTATTTTAATTACAAGAAAGAACACATTCACCAAAAACCTAAACAAGTGTTTCTGAAATGTATTTTGCAGGACATGCGTTACAGAACACTTAAAATTCGCGCATTTAAACGCTCATGGCTTCTCCCAGATAATGCTTGGCAGATAATATAGACATACTAGATGGCAAACCCGGCTCCGCCCGGGGCCAAACTTTGCACACATACACTTCGGGGCAGGGAGCGTGTCATAGTCCACTTTTCGTTATCGATCGATGTCGATTTCACCGATTTTTTGCAAATTTTGAGCTACGGGGCTGCAGCCCCCTAGCTCAAATTTTGCAAAAAATCGATAAAATCGATATCGATCGATAACGAAAAGTAGCCTATGACACGCTCCCTGCCCCGAAGTATATGTGTGCCAAGTTTGGTCCCGATCGGTTCAGAAATAAAAATTTCTATTCCGCACATACGTACAGACAGACATACAGACATACATACAGACAGACATTCAGCTTTATATATAAGATTTGTGATCAACGTTTCAGGATGAGTCCGATGATGTACAGCATCTTTGGTATGGCTGGTTTAAGTTCTGACCATTCCCTGCTAAGTAATTTGTTGATAAGAGTAAATGGTGTTTTGGAGTCATAGAATTTGCGATGAAACACAAGTCGAAAGTTGGGGTTTTTCGAAAAATTCAATATTTCAAAAAACTCATTTGTTCTTATCAGCAACATGCTTAACAGCTGAGTAAGACGAACAGTAGTACTTTGGAAGGTTTAACTACGAAGAAATAAGCTTGACTTTGAAGAAAAAAGGGTCGGCCTCGTGGGCAGGATCACAAAAAAGGTGGAAAATGCGACTTGTACGGCTTCTTGCCCCTGTTCAGTATGTTTATAGTGAAGGTTGTTTGGAATATTTAGGAGAGGTAGACAGCGTGAAATCCAGATACCTGGAGTTTCAGGACATGAAGCATTATTTTTGAGCTGCGATCCCCTCCCGTGGGGATGTTAATGCACGCGGCCCTTAGAAGCTTCCATGGCGAAAGGCAAGCAAAACCTTTCTTGTTAGCTAGTAGGCTCGAGGACTGTGGTGTGCTTAGAATTATAACGTAGTTTTGAGCGTTATAAAAGAATCCTCTGGAGTTCAATGGCTACTATATAACACGGCAGAAAGTACTAATTGCGTAAGGACGCTACGTGAATTCAATCAGTAAACCACTCTTCAGGCTCTATCACAGGATTTGCAATTGGACGATCCAAAACTACAAAATTCGGTCAGTCAAATTAATTTTTAGATTATGGACTTGAGAGTAAAACTGAATTAGCTCCGGGAGTGCACGTAATGTAGGGGTACGAAACAAATAATTTGAGCTGACTCTCGCATTAGCGACCAGGACTCACGGCCAACTATTTTACGCAAAAAAGAAACATCAGGCAAATTTAATGGCAATTGTCCGCTAATGGCAATTTCCATTAGCGGACACCCGAACGAGCTTATTTATTTCTGCAGTCATTTCGCACTGAGGCTGCTAATGATAGTCACCCCAAATCACTTTTGCTCTCGCTCTTGATACCACGGCCTTCAGCCTGCATTGACGCATTGCGTAGCATATGGATTTACCAGCATCCAACTAATGAAAGTTGCAGGCGGAATCGAGGAATGTGCAAAAAGAAGATGCAGCCTTGCGCACTGCTCAGCCATGTCAGTCGGAATACTGTCTATCCACCATGAACGAGTTCGTGGTTGGTTTTTTTTCTAAAAAAATAGTTTATATGGCACTGGGTATGTGCGTATTCTTCTAAAAATGCGTACGCCTAGATGCGCAGCGCTTATCCGCCTAGGAGTGATGTCGTGATCGCTCATAATTTGATCATCCGGATCAAATCCGGCGTGTTCAAGCGGGCGCAAAAGTCGCGAAAGTGCGAAAACGACCATTGGAAAACCCCATTTAGTTGATAAATACAGCCAGTGGTCGTAATTATCAACTAACTGAGATGAAAACATATTTTAAGAGCGCATACCTGTATTTACATGACACATATGTTGAATCTCAATGGTTGAACTTTTCCTTAGGTATAAATCAGCCCCGACTCAATACCCATATTCTTGAACGCAACGATAATGCACATGCATTCACGGCCCGAGGTACAGATTCAAAAGGAATTTAACCCTAGCATGGAGGGAGCAAACCTAAATTCCTTGAATTTGTACCTTGAGCCAGTGCATTTCCATTACGTCAGTATATTTCACTTTGAAGTACGTTTCTAAAACGGGTTAATGACTCTGTGGGTTAATTTATATTCCAGGCGTCTTCCGTTGATCAAACGTACTTCATTGTGAGTACGATTCGCTTTTATAGAAGGTAGGTTTTCACCTCAACATATGTTAATGAATACGGCCAGTCTGAATCAAAATCTGATTACGGGTCACCTGGCACTACCTTTAGCAGTATCCCCTTTGGAAGAAAGCCGCATCACCAGACGACAGAGTATTCATCATGTGATTTCGCGAAAGAGAAGCAAAATTACGGAGTCTCGACATTTGGTGACTCTCCATTTATCTTGAGCATCGAAGCGGCCATCTAAGGCCCTTATGCAAGTGCCCCCCGGCCTAGAAGGAAGGGAACTAACTAAGAGTGGACGCGAGTCTTGATGCTCCAGATATATACCTTCCCGGTCTCGCGCGGGTCACAAATGATTGAAAACGAAAACGCTTGCGCGTCTTGGAGCAAAGGAGAAAAGCATGTTCTCTTCTCAGCGGGCAACCCCGACCTTCTCCACTTCTCATTATCCTTGCCAGACCCTTCCCAGCTAGCCATCATGCTGCACTGATAAGGGTTCTTGTATCTAACACGGCTGTAGGCTCGTCGTGAATCACTTCATTCCCATCGCTAAAGAAGAAATGAACTTTATCGCCTACACCGACACCTGTTGTTTACACGAAAGAAAAGTTTTGTTAGCGGATGTCGGGAACTCATTTTCATGCCAAAAATCAATGATTGTTGGAAGAACCCAGCGAGTCACCGCAAAAAATAACAATAAACCACCGGGTTGAGAACATATGTGTAAAGTTTCAGCAGGATCGGTATGATGGCGCACTTTTCTATAACGAACGAACAACTTAACGAACACACTTACAAAGCTGAGTATTATTTATAAATAAATTTTTTAACATCACCTTATAAATGCTCTCATACCTTGATAACAAGCATAATGGATGCAAGACATTGCCGTACGACTTGAAATTTTTACGTTTTGTATGATGGAGGAGGGGGAGGGCAAATGTTCGAGAGACGGTCAAGAGGCGCGACTTCTTCGGCTGTCACCAACTTAAAACTCTAGTTTAGTGCTATGCGAGTCTGCAAAAATTACCAGATAAAGAATTAGCTTACTATCTGTCTAAGGTCACCACTTGCTGAGTTTCATGGTTTTTGCTATGAATCGGTCTGAAATATTTACGAATTTGTTCTGAAATGCATTTTCATGAGTTTTTGACCTTCAAAATTGTTGTTTTGAATTTCTTCGAATATCAAGATTGAACACTTATGCAACTATCTGATTTATCTTCTTCTAAATTTCATATAATTCTAGAAAGTTGCAGAACACTTATTATGTCTATTTGGTGTCCAGCTGGCAATAAAAATCGCGCCTCTTGACATACACCCCAAATGTTCAGCCCTTGTTTTGAAAGTCCTCTGTTTTTCCATAAACTCGATGAAAGCGTTGTAAAGTTGTAGCAAGGGATTTAGCTGACACTCCTAGGCATGTTCTCGACAGGCAAGTAGAATCTGAACGTTGTGAGTTTCTCAGATAACCAGCTCGCGAACAGTGTTTGTGATCTTCATAATCTATAATGTTTTAATTTTATTATAGACATGCTCGGCAGTGCTATAACAGACCCGCATCACAACTTGACAACTTTTTCATTGAATTTTTGGGAAGACAAACGACTTCGAAAGGGATAATCCTTTGGGAATACTTCAACGATCATACAAAACCGCAAGATTCTTAACTTGTATGACGATGTCCTGACATCCATTATGTCGCGGATTGGGCCCCTAGGTCCCAACGTCAGTGGTTCTATGGCTCTCCTGCATCGGCGAAGGGAGCCAGGGGTCCGCTCCGTGAAAAGAGTGAACGTATCATGTGTGGTGGCTACCTGTGAGGATGCGATTTCTGCCTGCCACATGACATGCCATGCACACATAGAGGCCCTTGCCACCAGCCTACTTAGTAGTTACTCGACACCTGCGACTCGACTACTCCCAAACACCGACAGTTGGGGCATGGTACTTATAACCAAAGCACTACCATGGATCGTGCCAGCCTTCTAACAGATCTTTCCCACTAGACATGATTATAAGAACACATGAACATTGATAACACAAGATATTTCCGGAGCCAAAGCCGAGCTGTGGCCCACCGCTTCAGTACAAATCACACATGTAAAATGCCCAGCATTTATCCACGATTATTCCCTAAACTCAAACACAAGGGGGTGAGCACAACCAGCCAGGTGTTAGATACCTAGGGACCAGCAATATCGGAAACCCACCGAGGCGGTGTCGCCGGCATGTGTCAGGCGCGAGCGCGCTCGGGTTACTTCGTTAGCGCGGGGGTCAGTCCTCCGTGGCGTAGATGGAATTGGCGCGTGAGATGAAATGGCGCTGGATCGATCGATGGCATTGGAGACGAATTGAGCCCGACCGCTCACGATAGCGACAGCTGCGAAGACTGACTACGTGACAAACTTGAAAGCTGCGCAGGTAGAGAGGTGAGAGGCGGGATAGCGCGAGGACGGCGTTTCGGGACCCCTTCGCAGCGCGGTGGTGGCCTCCTTTGAAGGAAGCCGCGAATCCGCGACACATTATGCTTGAGTATTTGGTTACGAGCACCTTCGTAAGATGGAGAACGTGCGTTATACTACAAAGACCTCGCCGCCAAAGCTCGCCGCCATAGTCGGCACGCGCGCTGAGCTGGCCTACTGTATCCCGCACCCATTTTGCACCGGTGGCCTGAGCCATGAGGCAATCGCGCGAACGCAGCCTCGTCAGCTTTGTCGCGGCGACGTCGCGCCGCGATGTCGCGAATTTTACAAAAGGTCAGTCACATGAAAATACTCAGAAAAAAATCTTCTTCAGGATTTTCACGTGCGATATCGTCCGTCGCACGCATAAGGTGAAAATCTAAAAAAAAACTTGTTAATCTCCTGTTTCTTTATTTGATTCATGTTCGTTTTTATTTCCAAATAAAAACAAAAGATTCGTTTAGAATCTCCCTAGTGTTTCTTCAATTTTCTTTTTTGTTTCGTGTTTGTTTTTGCATGACTTACTTAATTGTCACTGCAACTGTGACCTGTGGCCTAGATTGCAAGTTGAGGCTAGTAACACGGCGATGATGACTGTGGAATCAACTTGTTAGTACAAAAGAAGATAGCTGATGCCAGATTTTCATTCCTTCGATTTTATTTGAAAATGAACATGAAATAAATAAAGAAACAGGAAATCAATAAGTTCCTTTAGTTCACCTTAAGCGGTGCGACGGACGATATCGCACGTTAAAATCTAAAAGAAGATTTTTTTGAGTACTTTCATGTAACCTTTTGTAAAATTTGCGACATCGCCGCGCGACGTCGCAACGCGACAAAACTGACAAGGCTGCGTTCGCGCGATTGCCTCATGGCTCAAGCTCACCGGTGCAAAATGGGTGCGGGATACAATAAGCCAGCTCGGGGCGCGTGCTGATTATGGCGGCGAGCTTTCCCCTTGGTCAAGCTCTCATTCCTTTCTCTTGCCGTCGTCTCTTTCAAGCTCAGACTGTCTTAATTGGATGCAGCGTCCAGTATCCGCGTGCGAGAATCGCCTGTGCGTGCGTCAGGGCTTATAGTATAAGTGCGAAACCTGCTTTAGAATGAAGGCACATGGGAATCAAGAATGAGCATTTTAGAAAATAAAACTTTCCAAAGAATCGCCTGAGGAGGTTGAAGAAGCACTAAGAAATGCAGACAACGAACTTGGCACTCCGCTCCCATCGGCGAGACCGTCAGAAGCAGCGATCGAGCTGAGTGATACTCACCGCTTGGTGGTGAGTAGCTTCAAATCCATAGATTCAGTTTATTAAGATCTTTTTAGACGAATATGCCGGATGTCCAAGCTTTCAACGAAGCTGTTGACAGACGTAGTATGAGAACAAACAAAGCATAGCAACATAATAACCGAAAAATTCATCGACTGAATTCTTTAACCTTGAATGAACTAGCTTGCAAATTGACTGTTTGATGTTCGGTTTGAGACACAACCAATCAGCATTGGTCTCATGGTAGAATTTTTTCTCTCCAGTGAAGCCTCTGCTGCAACCAACGCAGACGACTTAGTAAATCCCATTTATATTGACTTGCTTAAAAAGTTCTGCCACTTCTTTTAAATCATTGCTTAACATATAACGATTTCTTGTTTACCACTTGGCTTCCCCAGATCCGTGGAATACGGCAAATGAGGAGACAGCTGACGGAGTTAGGGAGGCGTGCAAGTGTTACCCAGGCAGCCGCCTGGCAACGCAGCCAGCCGCCGGAGCTGGCATCAACGTCGCGGCTGAGCTACCGTATGTGCGCTCTCGTCGTCCACATCCTCTCGCAGAGAGATTTTCGCAGCAGCCTCGCACCTCGTAGCGCTGAGGTGCGAGAATTCCCTCAGAGGTCGCGCTACTGCCATAAATTATACATCGATCAGGACAGCAAAATTTTTGTAGTTTAATAGTGAGATACAGTACAAAAGATATACAAAAACAAAAAATCAAAAAAATTAAATGACTTAATGATAAAAATTGAATCGAAAGTATAATATTAGGTTGGCCAATAAGTTAGGTCGTTTTTAGCGGTTTGTAGAAGCGTCACAAATCAGTTTTTGCGTGTATATATGGTACACTGGAAAGAGCAAATCAAAAAGAATCGAATGGTCGACTCTGTTTCCTCAAAATAATTTTTCTGATAATGAAATGGTGCAGGAAAGAAGAATGCTCAGATTTTTTTCTCAAATTCCCGAAAATCATGCTACGAAAAACAAACTGAAGTCAGGTATAATATGTAGATTTGGTACCCACACAACAAATAATTACATTTGTAACCATTTGCGTGGCCATAGATGGTCAAATTCGCGCGCTCTGAAATGCCCAGAATTTGACGGGTAGTAAGGTAATATCTAATAAACTACAAATTCAAAATACCTCCAAGAACAACGGATTTTCTACATACGTATTTTGAGCAAGATGGATGTTAAGATTCTTCTGCCACAAAGTTCGCAACGAAATGTGCCAAAAAACTATTCAATAATCTATTTTGTATTTTCTATGGATTCACTCCACAATACTAAATAATACTTTCGTTTGATTTCATAATCACTCAGTCATTTTATTTTTTTAATTTTTTTGTTTTTGTATATCTTTTGTGTTGTATCTCACTAATAAACTAGAAATTTTTTGATGTTTTGATCAATGTATAATTTATGGCAGTAGCGCGACCTCTGAGGGAATTTTCGCACCTCAGCGCTATGAGGTGCGAGGCTGCTGCGAAAATATCTCTGCGAGAGGTTGTGGACGACGAGAGCGCGCTTACGGTAGCTCAGCCGCGACGTTGATGCCAGCTCCGGCGCTGGCTGCGTTGCCAGGCGGCTGCCTGGGTAACACTTGCTACGCACCCACGGAGTTATGATGAAATACAATGATCTTTGGCCTTGAATTGCTACCAGTAGTGGAATGCGTTTTGGAGCACAGTCAAATTTCATAACAAATGACCGAAGCATGTTTTCGTAAAAGGGTCAGGATCGTATTTCAAAATTCAATTCTGAGTGTTATTGCAATGACTTTGAGATAGGGTCGCTAATGTCCGGGTGTGTTATTTGTACAAACTGTTATTTTTTCATGCTTGTTACCCCAAAATGTGTTGGTCAAATATACAGTGATCCTGCTTTTGAAATGATGCCAAATTGCGTAACAGCATTCAGCTAAATTTATGTATGTTTCTTGCAAAACTGATGCTTTTTGCCTTCTTCTATGCATCGGACGCGTGCTGGTGAGTTTCTTTGCTGAAAATAGCTTTTGACAGCGCGTGCACGTAACCCCACCTGCACCTCACCACTGAATTGCACTGCTTTGCAGGCTTGTAGCTCGGCCAGCCGTCACTTTACGAGCCTATTGGTAGGCTCATTCGAAAGCGCTTGACTTCCTGGATCGATGGTATGCAAAAGAGTTGGGTAGGAGAAACAGCAGAGAAATGGCGGATGGGGTGAAAAAGCCTAGCTTCAGTGATAGGTTAAGGATTTCCAGCTAATCTCAGACAATCACAGGCCCTCAGCCGGCGGCGATAAAGGGCAGTTTCACTGAGCGGGCGGCGATACTGCAAAAGTGGCAGTGAGCGGGCGACGACATTGTAGGAATGGCGGTGAGCGGGCAGCGACGGGCTACCAGCGGGCAGCTATAATCTTCCATGAGTCAGAAAATAGCTGCAGAGCGCATTCATTCCTACAAAAGCAGCCAAAAGGCGACGATGAGGCAGCGACTCCGTTAAGCTGGCAGCGACCGTGAAACGATGGGGCTGCGAATACAAGATTTCTGTCAGCGGGCCGCATCAATGCTATGAGCAGGCAGAATTAATTCATAACGCCGTATTGTGGCTGCCAAATGGAAGCCATATCGTTGCCCGCTCGAGACATTGTTGATCGCACCAGAAAAGTTAGATGTGCAGGCAAACGAGATTGGCAGCGTGGTCTCGCGTCATTTTTTCATTTCTTGTTGCGTAATCTTTGTTTTCATCTTTGCTTTTCTTTGTTCTATTCACTTATTTTCAATCTTCACTTCACTATTCACTTCTTTGTTCCATCTATTCACTCATTTTACGAATGTAAACATAAAAGTGCCTTTCTCTCAACATTTTCGCCGCTGTCACATCATTCGACTACAAGCGTGCTCTCTTTGCGCTCAAAGATTTGCATCATTGCGTTTCGCGTGCGTCCATTTTCGAAATGCTTATTGATTAGAGGGCGTCGCTATGCTTTGCTACTTCAATCCTGTGTTTATGATTTTTTCGAGAAAAAACTCTCAGCCTCAGCGGATTACACGCGAAAACATGACCTTTTACGCAACGAACGACCATCACGGCTCACTCCACGCCAGCGTGTTGTACGCAAAGTTCATCGAGTGAGGAAGGATTGATTTGAGGTTTAGTCTGAGTGCCACACACAGCGTAAGTTGTTTTCGTCGCACGTGTTTCATAGTTCCTTTTACTCAGACAAATCACGGGAACTTCCCGAGGGGCAAGCCAATTTGCCAAACTTCCCGAGGGTTTCATTTAGCACGTAAGTGAATGAAGCCATAAAAATGGGAACTTCCCGAAAACTTTGACGTCAAAAGCAACACAGTTAGGAACTTCGCGAGGAAGTCCTCGGAAAGTTCTGCAAAATGCAGAACCTCCCGAGGATTTCAATTTGCGGGAACTTCCGCAGGGCTGTTTTGCAAGTTAGCAAAACAGTCCCGTTTTGCTTGTTTTGCAAGCAAGACTACCTGCATCATAATGATAAGCTTAAAGTTTGATAAGGTAAAGCTTGAGGTGCTTCATTTCTGTCTACACCGTCTGAAAGATAGGTAACCTGTTATTCTACCTATCTATTCTACCTACTTTAAGAATCTTATCTCTGCTTCAATGGTATCACTTATGAAACCGTAAAGTATATCAAGTTATCAGAGATTCGGAAACTACTGTAACTGACTATATTCCAGTGATTTGCAAAATCTTACGCATCCTCAAATTTCAGCGAACAATTGAGCATCAGATGTTCGATAAAATTTTTTTACTGTAGAACATAAGCGAGCATCTTGGTACCCAATCGTAATGGTCTGACCCGATTAGCGAAAGTGAGCTTACTCCCATTACTTTGGAAAGGTCTTTTGTGATCAAGAGATTCAAAGTCAATGAGTGAAATAAGTATGATCGGCTCCCAGATTCGTGTGGAGGCGGGTTGCGGACTTCCCTGATTTTAAGGGCAAGCTTAACGAGAGAGTACGAAACAGAATGCTGTAACGTGAAGGTTCAACAAGTTTATTCTGAAAATCAGGGAAGTCCGCACCCGCCTCCACACTAATCTGGGAGCCGATGATAACTAGTTAATAGCCTCTGAGCAACGAAGCAAGGAAATCCTCGAAAAATGATGTATAAGGATACCCTTGGACGAACATTATGACAGACAAGCAATAGATGACTTTATAGCATTGTCTTTTCTAGCTGGCTTCGCATACGTAATGGAGTGCACATCCTCCTCAGTACGTTTGGGTAGGGGTAATCTAAACTAACTCGCAACTTTGGGGAGGATTGCGCGCCCCACGTATACGGCTGCCGCGCGAACCGCCCGCGCAGCCAGCACGGTAGGAATAGATGGCGCCCTTAGAGCACATGGTGTGCAATGGGCATATTAACTTACGAATAACTCGACGATATAGTCATACGCGTCATCCTTGTATCACCTCAAAGCGATGTATGTTAGGAACACAAATTGAAATTCCGGATCATCCGTTGGAGCACCGTGCCATACTTGCTAAATTTGACCAAAAACTGCTCAGACCATTCACCGGAATTTCCGCAGGACAAACAGAACTTGCAGCGTTTCCGCAGCACTTTCTTAACCATTGAGAAAGTGGACGCTCCAATGCGAGGTTTCCGCAGGAAATTGCCGTCACAGCGATCGTAAACCGGAACTTCCGCAGCACTTTCCATAAAGCGCTGTGAAAGTGTAGTGAGGCTCGTAAGGTTTCCGCAGCGCTTTGACCTGCCAGCATTTCCGCAGGATTTTGAGAGCGCATGCACCTGCGATTGCGAGATAGCAAGCGCATCTTCGCCGCAGCCATGCCGCTTAGGATAACTCGTGGTGCACTTTTGTCATGATTCACACTGCATGGATACCCGAAAGTGGGATTTCGTTATAGCTCATTGCTATTGTCTTCTATATTTTTTCGCTTCTACTTATCTTCTCATTTTTCTTCTAATTCTTCGACGCTAGCATAATCAAACCTGTGTGTTCCATATTCATTAGTATTTTTCAGGTATCGATTCACCTGTGTCAACAAACAGCACGAAGCTGCTGGAAAGCTGCAAAAGGACTGAGGAGGGACTCCACTCAAGGACAACGCTTTCATTGAAGTATGTTTATTTTTTGCTTTATTACTCTTGCGCTTTTGCTTTGCCTATTTTGTAATCGAAGATTTTGTCAAAAGAAGGAGGGGGAGTTTTTTTGTCCCTCCCTCCCCCTCATCTTGAAAAAAATTGTCACATTGTCACTGCTTTTCATCTCTCCTTCTCTTCTCTGTTTCTGATATTTTCAATGTTTTCTCTCTGCTCGTACATGTCCTCTCACAATACCCAAATCGCAAATTTATATTTTCTAATCAAAGGTTTTGTCAAAAGAAGGGGGAGGAGGGGGAAAATTGGCTTTCAAAAAATTTTTTAGTGGTTCACAAAAACCAAATCATAAATTGATTTTTTCAAACAAAAATGATTGAAAAATGATCAAATCATAAAAAATGTTGCAATGATAAATGGTAGAATGATAAAATCCTCATAAAGGGTAGTCAAGAGAATGGAGTCGAACTGAAGAGATATAATAGTCTAGAGAATAGTGTTACACATTGAGGCTGCTGCATGACGAAGGCTGCGTTCAGACTGATTTCGAAATCCGGGAACAATTCCAACACAGCGCTTAAAATGAGCGCTGTGTTGAAACTGTTCCCGGATTTCGAAATCAGTCTGAACGCAACCGAAGGCGCACCATCTTTGGGCGCGAACGCGGTTTTGTTAGCCTCAGGGCGCATGAGGCGCAGGTTTTGCAATGGTGAAGATGCGCGCGCGTCGCGTTCGCGCCCGCTCGAATGATAATGCTTCTTCTCCTTCGTCGTGCAACAGCTTTAAATATTTTGTCTAAAAACTTTGCGATATTAGTCGATTTAGTAATCCTTGATTTTCTTTGCTAAAAGCTCTATAGATTTTCAAATCTGTCTCAGAGCTTTTCTTGTTGAAATTTCCAAAATTTCAAAGTCTTTGAATAAATCATGCAAACTTCCTTTGTATTTAACACACAGGGTTTTCAAAACGTAACCTATGCGGCGTAACCGTCATCGACGACGCAGCGACTGGATTGCAACTGAAGAAGAGGGTAGCAGCAGTTCGGTGAGTAGTTAGCTGTTTTTTGAGATCATGAAATAGGTTTAGTAATTCATAAAATGGCATAATAGCAACAAAATTTGTTACAATTTGAGAAAACAAAAAAAAGGAAAACACCGAGATAATCGGCTAACAATAAAAGCAAAAAAACAGGTTGCAGCGGGTTTCAGAACAGTGTGGTTGTATTTTCTTAGAATACGTGCGTGCAGCTACGGGGGTTCGTAGTAAAAACTGATTTTTCGAATTTAGCGCCTTGGACGTCCTCGGTTGAGCCCTGAGCCGAGTATGAGTTCCGAACCGGCGGTTTCACTCCCTTCATTTGGCGAAGGTGCCGCCGGCGAAGAGACAGAGCCCAACCAAATAATTGACGAGGAGTTGGCAGAACCTAGTCACGCCGCTGGTAGTGAAACGGTAGAACTTGGGCAAGGTGCCGTTGGGAACGTGGTAGAGTTAGGTAGCATTTTCTTGGACTAATTCTGTAGAGAAGAAATGTATCTCGGCTTTAAGACCATCATGACAAGCTCCTTTTTTGCCTGTCACACTGTGCTGCACGGTACCAGCACCGCGGAGCTGAGACGAATGATGATGTTGGTAGAAGTGGCCACAGGAAGGGCAGCAGATATTGTGAGATTGCAGTCAACCAGTTAGTTTCAAGAGGGAACTCTATATTTGAGTGTGTGGCGGATGTGACGAGATTCGTGGATAATCTGAAAAGTGACTTACGCTTAAGAAATCACGCATTCTGCAGTTCATGCTTTCGAACATTGGTGAATAAACGCGCTTTGTGCGCCAATCCCAGCTGCGAACTATATGGGTGAGCACTCTTGAATCACTTATGCGGACGATCACACTTTTCTTCAGAATTCATCCTAAGCGTTCGAAGTCGTTGAGAAGGCCATCATTGTCTCTGTTGGACATTCGGTCACAGATGGAGACCGTACTTGCTACACACTTGTTCCTACTGATCAATGTACATCGGCGACTCCATGAAAGTTATGTGCGTAACATTCTTCTTAATTCTTAAAAATGCTCATCAATCTAGTTTGATTCTGGGACGCGTTCTGAAGCCACTGATTTCCCCATGTTCAAGAACAATGTTGAGTCGCCAGAAGAGTTCTCCAGACATACAATGAGCCTGCAGTTGACCATAGCCACCGATGGCTTTGTACCAGCACCAGCTAAGCAGGTCTTTCATTTGAAGACTGGCAGGAATTCTTTCAACATTTCTGAATTTAGTACTTGTTTAGGCAGGAGCTTTGGCCACTACATGTGCGCGTTGATGATCTTCCATCGAAAATAGGAAATAATTATCTCAATATAATCATGGCTGGTGTGCTGTGGACGTCAAAAACACCCCACGAAGAGCTGTGGGAGGGTTTATGGACTCACCTGGCTACAGAGCTAACTCTGGTGAACTCCAATGAGCCCCTGCAGATCCTTGGCAATGTAACGGGCAATCTGTGGACTATCAGACTGAGACTGACGCATGCAGTCGTGGACTACAAGGTTACTCTAGCCAAAATTATACGTATGCTTTCCAGAAAAGCCATTATAGGGACTACAAGACATATTTGGCATACCTCGCTGGTTGTCCCGTTATGGCTGCCATAAATGTCTTTTCCCGGGAATTTCTGTTGGAAGAAAACTGAACTGGTACTGCAGCGAACCTCTACGTTTCACGAAGAGGACTTCAGCAAATATATTAGATGATGCAGAGCTCGGACGGAATGGTCTCATGAGTAAGTTTTAGCATGGGTTCACGGCGATCTATAAATTCTTTGATATGTAGGAAAAACTTCTGCGATGGATCTTTTTACGCCTGCGCAATGTTGCGCAGATGCCCTACACGTTATAAGTGAAGGAGTCACTCAGGATCGCCTAAGGGGTCTGCTTTCGCTTCAAGCATTACAGAGCAGCATGATGAATACCGTAGTTTTAAGATTTGCTTTTTCGCTCCTCAAAATTTGACGAAATGAAGCTCGGAGCTGAAATAGTCGGTGAGCTCAATCGAGTTTTGATGAACATCACCAACTACACGTACAGCTCGAGATTCATTCTTTGTAACGAAGATTTACCCTCCATGACGGGAGCTGAGATTGACGCGGTGCTCTTGCCGAACTTTACATGTTTTTCTATGGATATTGAAAATTGCGTCAATTTTCAGTTCGCAAATGTGGTATTTCCGCTCGTAGGAGCACTAGCGCTGTGTCCTTCTGCTCTTAGTAGCGCCTCTATCGTGGGCTATTGGTTTTGCGTGAAAGAGCTACAGGCCGTGGAAGATCTGACTGCAGTCAAGATCCGCGTTATACAATCTGTGGCGCTGCACGTGAAGCAAATTTGGAGTCGCCTATCACAAGAAATTTTCACAATCAAAACACATGTAGGTCACGCTCTGTCTATTTTGAATTGGTGCTGCGTTCCGTTCTAGACCAAGAATCTTTGAAACAACCCTGTTCTTTCTAGAACTTCTTCGACCATTGTATATTGGATGAGATTGAGCAGCATGGCAGCCCATATTTGTGGTCTGCAGCACCTTTCGAGGCTATTCACCGTGTTCTGCAGATACCCCACAATCAGTATGTGACGAATTCGGACGCAAGAGTTCTCACCAGGTAGTCATCAGATCAACAAATGACCTACATTGTCTTTGCATTTAGATTCGTGACCATCAAAAAATTAGTGAGACTCATGGAGGAGGCTGTAGAAAGGAATCACTCGGAGAATTTTGCTAAACTGCTTCGCGATATGCGAAACGAAGAGAAAAGGTAGTTAATTATACATTGCAGATTTTATATTCTATGGGTTTATCTTTTGAGATTCCCTCTCCAAGTACAACTCGAAGCAGGTTATTATGTCCCACAACATTCCGAAGTAAAAGAAGATTCACTGTGCGAAGAACATCGAGCAACTTTCCAGCGTCACCATAGGGGTCTTAGCGATGTTAAATTATAGTGGATTTTTTGTTTGATTGCTCGTAGTTCTAGATAGGCTAACACACTCTTGATTTAGCTCGCGTTTGGTCGTCGGCGGAAAAGTATTATCTTCCAAGGCGTATTGGCGAAGAACCACTGACACAGATGCCTCTAGCTTTTACCTGAGGGTCTCAAACGGACATAGTACACTAATTTCTTACGGAAAATTGCTCTTGGTCAGCTATCATACGCTCACACGTAGCTTGTTCGCTCTTATTAAGCATTACTCAACAGTCGACGCTTTTGCAAATTTGATGGAAGCTTTGGGAACCTTGGAAGACTCAGATAGAGCTCGGAGACTCCTTCGCATTGTCTCTTTGAATAATTCCCATTTCCATGAAGTTAATTTCCTTGGCATCAAATGGATCAACTGCACTGATATCTTGAAAGCCGCAGTTTTCATTAATATGCGGAATAGAATGTTTGCTCTCAAATTGTAAGACCCCTTGCCTGCTATTTTCATTATCTCTTACCTCTGTGTTCTCATGAAATGTCAGGATAAAGTAAATTTGTTGATGTTATTATTTACTGTCTCTCGCGGATATCTACGCCAACTTTGCTTCTTATTCCATGAAGTCTTATTCCATGTTGTGGTGTTAATCCATTTTAAGCCAATAAATCGTTTCTCATAGAATTGCTTATTGTACTGAGAAACTATCCGAATCAACTCTAGAGCGGTTTCACTATTTTCCAACGATTCTAGAGTTTCTGCGTAATTTTAAAAAAGATTCTCGGTTGCGAAATGTTTTTCATTTTTGCAATAGTGAAAAAAGCCCTGCGGAACTTCTACAAATTTTCCGTGATTTGTCTGAGTAGCTATCTATGATTGCAAGAAATAGTAGCCGTAGCTTTTTAAAATCAAAGAAGAAGGGAAAATCATTAAAAAGCATGGGACCATGGAACGGGAATTGTTGAGGAACTAGAACATGTGTATCACTGCATTTGTAGGGAGCTTGAATGTTGCATTTACATGGCATTTGTGTGTTAGCCTAACAATTTTAGCGATGTACAAGAAAAGTGGAAGCTCGAAAAGTACGCAGTCGAAACTTACGAAGCAGACGCAGCGAGAAGATCTTTCTAAGCAAGATGACTCATCAACGGCATTGAATACTCTGACAATTCATCAGCCTCAAGTAAAGATTTATATATTCAATATCGAAATTTGATCAATCAAGTGTCGATAGTCTTTGAAAGGAGACTAGATTCCTGAGCAAGAAGAGAGAAGAAGAGAAGAAGAAGAGAAGCAGAAGAGAAGGAGAAGAGAAGCTTCACAAGAAGCCCTCCATCCGCATCATTCCGGCACTGTTGTAATTTAATTTAGTCTAAAATCTAAGTGCGAGTCCAAGCGTTCAGGCCGTCATATTGACTCGAAAAGATGCATACGAGCGTCTAGCCCATTATTGATCGATAGCGTACATACCAGCCTTGGTTTTATGGCATCAAATTGTTTTTGAAAAGTGGGTAAGCCAATCTCATACGAGAATTTATGTTTCCAAAACGTTCGGGGGTCATTAGTTAAATGTCAGATCCGCCGATGCCTTTCAATTCCTTGAGTCCAAAAGTCAAACCAATGCTTTTTAATTCCTTGAGTCCAAAAATTAAACCAAACCTCTCCGTCCCGTTGCACAACCTTTTTCTCTTGCAAAATATCCCTCTATCTTGTTTACAAAGCTTTTGAGTCCTGCATCTCTATCGATCGGCCTTTTCAAAAAGTAAAATTCTCATTTCGAAGCCAAGTGCATTCATCGAAACACAGTGCGCACCTTTTCAATGATGTACAGTCGGTTCATTTCATATGATCATGTTTGCCATTGCACACACCGTCCATCTTTGCCGTACCCATCCTGGATTCTTGGAGGACGCAACCCTTTCGTTAAGCGATTCTGATGTTTTCTCGCTGTTTTCTTTTCTTTTTTTTCGTACTATTTATCTCTAAATGATGTAAGCGATAGCAATTGGTCACTCTCTCGCGTTTTTGCGATCGGAAATCCGAGATGGGGACGCCAAAGATGGACGGTGTGTGCGGGTGCACACATGATCATATGAAATGAATCGACTGTACTTGTACAGTGAGCACATAAAAGGTTTACAGTTTTACGGAAAATTGTTTGGCACGCAGTCGTTCGTCAACGCAGCTATCGTCGATTCGTTGACCGTAACGGACTGCTGAAGCGCTGCGGACCACATGCGGCGCGGTTAACATGTTGCGAGAGCACGAACAATGGCGAGTGTGTATTGGAGCAAGCGTTTTACCTCGCGGCGCGTGCTCCGCGGTTATGTCCAGTCCGCGCAGTCAACGAATCGACGATAGTTATTTACAGTTGTGATGTGAAACTAGTTTCTGTCTCTTTTTTATCGTCAAGGCTTGATAAAGTCGATAAAGTTGATTGGTGTTACATTCCATTCAACTTTACTCTGTTCCAGATACTGGCATATCACACCGCGTGGGCAGCGTCGGTCAAGTGAAATCTGTAAAGGGGGAAAAGAAACAGGGAAAAAGTACACAAAGGTAATTTTTACGAATTCTTGCGGGGTTGTAAAAGGATGCCCACATGAATTTCTTATGAATAAGAGCAACAAGCTCCATTTCTAATGCGCTTGGAGAACAATACAATTGGCGGCACCCGTTCGCCGCTGTTAGCAGTTTCTCCCTAAACCGTTCAATTTTTACTTATATATCTGGTGGGAATCGAAAACTATCGACTTCGGTCCTGCTATTTGCTTGTTCAGTGTTTGCACTTCAAAGTACGTCACATTGCTCTTTCGATTCGATGTTTGCGACAATATCTAAAAACTTTTTTTAGAAGTCTGACACACATGGCGCCCAAGAGGAAGTTCAGATACGAAGACACAGGAGTAAAAAAGGCTGGAAGTAAGTTTGCACATGAGCGCTTTAGTTGGTTATTGCTGCAGTGGTCAAGTTTAGAGGCCTCTCGTGCACGGCTGCTTGCAAATCGCGAGAATGTACGTGTGATCGCGCAGTTGCGCGATAGAAGGCCAGGAGAACAGAGTACTAGTGATTTTGATGAAGACACCACTGTAGGCGACGAGGAAGAACCTTTGTGTAAGCAAAGCTTTGTATCCATGGACTACTCTTTGCGTTGAAGCATTATCGCTTAGCGCTCAGCGATCGCGTTCTCTACTATGCTGCCCTTGTGGAGCACTCGGGAATGTCAAAAGAAGCAGTAAGGAGGATGGAGAAACTTATGGGTGTAATCTACGGAAAACCCCCTCCTTTTACGGTGCATTAAGGCAAATGATTTGAATATTGATTGTAATTTCTATTATATATATTGGGATATTGGCTCTGTTTGCGTGAGAAATAGATAGGTTTCCGGAATTTTGTCTTGTGTTTGAAGCCACATTAGGTCTTGTGACTACTCTTGTACTTCTGGCTTTCTTCGTTTCTAAAGTTGACACGTAATGCTTATGAAAACGCTTACAGACGTTGCTAGTTTTGGAAAATCACGCACAGCGTGGGAGTACCACTGTTTCTGCTCTGCATCGTACTGATATGAGCATATGTCTCGGCTGCAAAATGTTAGCGCATCAAATTGTAAAGGTTGAAGTTCTTTAGAATTTAGCTTACAGTGCCGTCTGAAGTCCCTTCTGTATCTCTTGTTTGTACGCTGCATAATCTGCGATTAGCTCATCCAATTTTTGCTTACGTTCGACCTCCGAATCCCCAAGGGACATGTAGAATCTAATAGTTACAGCCCTCATCCTCTTAGATATCTCTCTCCTAGAACACTACCTTGACATGTCTCGAGCCACAGCTTGTCCTAATCTCAGCTCTGGCTCTCCTAAGCCAATAAGGTCCAAAGCGAAGTATAGAAAAACATCGTGACGACATGATTTACAGATAATGTAAATGTCATTTTTCTATTAGCGTCATTTCAACATGACCTGGTAGATTGCGCAAAGCTTTCTCCCTCCCTGCTTTTCGGAGATAACGCATTGAATATTCCTGTATTTTTTCGGGGGGGGGGGGGGGTCCGTAAGCTGAAAGTCAAGAGTGACTAGGTGTAATGCGGAAGCATTTTGACAGCAACCTTTAGAAAGAAATCCCTCAACTTCTGGTCGCCTACTCGTTCAACCAAAAGGAATCAACCTGTCAACATTTCAGTGCTCCCTTCCGCTACATTTTCAAAAGGTCTCTGTCAAACTTCTTCCGCATTATGTCTAGTCACACTTGACTTTCAGCTGACAGACCCTCCCGAAAAAATCCAGAAATATTCAATACGATTTCTGCGCAAAGCAAGCAGAGAAAAGGGCCAGCGCAATTTACCACATGCAGAAACAACGCTAATAGGTAGATGAACATGTCACGTGATCTATAAATCATGTCATCACACTATTTTTTCGGACTTCGCTTTGGATCTTATTGGCTTAGGAGAGCCTGAGCTGCGCCTAGGGCAGGCGGCGGCTTGAGACATGTCAAGGTATCTGTTGTAGGAGAGAGATATCTAGGAGCGCTGTACAGTTTTAGATTTTATATGTCCCTTGGGATTTGGAAGCTGATGCAAACAAAAACTGTATGGGTAATCGCCGATTACGCAGCGTACAAACACGAAATACAGAAGGGGCTTCAAGTCGCACTGTAAGCCAAAATCTAAAAAAGTTTGATCTGTACAATTTAATGCGCTAGCATTTTGCAGGAGAGGCATCCGCTTATACGAGTACGATGCAGAACAAGGACAGCGATACTCGCACACTGTGCGTAAATTTTCCAAAATTAATACCAATTATAAGCATTTTTATAGGCATTACAAGTCAACTTTTAGAAGCGAAGAAAACCGAAAGTGCAAAAGTGATCACACGACCTAACGAGGTTGGGTGGAGGAACGAACACCTCAATTAGGCACCGCCTCCGCGGACCACTGGTCCCAACACGATGCACAACAGTAGGACGAAAGGACCAGCAGCCCGCGGAGGCGATGCCTCATTGAGGCGTTCGTTCCTCTACCCAACGAGGTTTTCAACACGACGCGACAAAATCCCGGAAACCGACACCTTTTTTCTAGTTGTACACTTTTGAGTGGCTTTAGATCTTAATCTTACAATATCTCTCTAATTCATCTTCTCATAAATGATCTGAACTTTGCCGGTATACATGTCTATTTCAGTGCATAACAATACTTGTATTTGTCTATCTCGACTCATTCTATCTCATTCCATATTATGTGATCATATGAAACCATGATCACCATGATCATATGAAATGAATCGACTATACTCATCCACTTAACTGTTACTTGCCATTTCATTAGTTATAACCTTTATCCAGAGTTTACAAACGTGGCCGTACATAGTTGTAGTATACGATCTAAGCTAACCTTTAAGCTTTTGGGCTACCGACACATCCTATCTTTAAAGAAAGCGGGAAGCGGCAGTGAGGCGATAAGGCCACGGCGCTTTTGGTGGGTTTTCGCGGTGCTTTGTGGCTGCCGGCTGAAAATCTTGTCTGTGTAGCTTCTTGTTGTGCTTGGACTACAACGTTGTAACTTCAATTAATTCATTATAACAATGGCAAGTAACAATGAAGAACATAACCATCTGGGGCCATATCTATTTCTCCATGTGGTCATATCTCCAGATGATTATGTTCTTCATTGTTACTTGTCATCGTTATAATGAATTAATTGAAGTTACAACGTTGTAGTCCAAGCATAACAAGAAGCTACACAGACAAGATTTTCAGCCGGCAGCCCCAAAGCCACCGCGAAAACCCACCAAAAGCGCCGTGGCCTTATCGCCTCACTGCCGCTTCCCGCTGAGAACTGTAGAAGCGAGCGGGCTACAAATATGGCAATGAGCGGGAGGCTAAAGCTGGCAGCGGGCGGACTGCTATGAGGGCTTCAGCGGGAAGCGAAAGTGGCCGCGATGAGGCCACCGCGCTTTTGGTGGGTTTTCGCGGTGGCTTTGTGGCCGCCGGCTGAGAGCCTGTGATTGTCTGAGATGTTGAACAGGGCTTCTTTCGCTACAAGTTTCATCCTGGAAGTTGAAAACTGTCAATGTTCTTGTAATAGATCCGTTTCGAAGCTTCAGGAATGTAATCACTAGTGCCATTAATCACTAGTGCCATATTTAATCACCAGTGCCATCGTCACCTCCTCTTCGCGGAGGTTCGCACTGGCGCTCCTATCCTTTTGCCTTTCTCTTGTTCGCATAATGATGACTTTGAAACCCACCATGCGATGCTAAGCATCACAAATCAATAGTAAACAACGTCATTCTTGAAGCATCTTCACGTAAGGTCGATAATTTTGAGAAAAAAAACTTTTCACAAAGGAACACCTGCGAATTTAAATAGATTACTGAATTTGTTTTGGTTTGGTAGTCGTCATAAGAATAATAGTCACTTGAGCTAAATTTCCGTCAAAAATTTTTTCCAAACAAAAATGAGCAGGTTCTCAAGGTAAAACCTTGCTAAATCGAATATCCAAGCGATCACCACATCTTGGCGCTGTTTTTGCAGAAAAGCAAACTTTTGAGCACTTTTTGGGCTAGAATTCATGAGGCGCATATTTACTTGTCAGACAGATCATGACTTCGCAAAAGTCGAATTAGCGACCTACTTTTGCGTGCCAAAAGCCACGTGGACACGTTTAACGCGCAGTTTTTGAAGGAATTATCGAATCAGCTTGTGCTTTTGCACTTTTTATCTACATGCTGATAGGATGCCATGACCAAAATTTCATCTCAAGACCTTGCTTACAGCACGCTCTATGAATTTCGTGACAGACAGACATAAACACACACAGAGACAAACAGACACACACGCACTTTATTATAAGTCATGATGACCACCTCACTTGGGTGGTCCACGATTGGGAACCCTCAGAATTTGCTAAAACTTGGCCCAGGGGGTTTTTTGACATGATAATTGCAGATATGTGCACAGCACATATCTGCAATTATCATGTTATTTTCTATTTTCACAGCAAGCTTCTTCGGTGGCCTTACGGTATGTGTAAGATAAACGAGGAATAATTGAAATCTGGCTGAGACACAGTGAAGTTAAACGGTATGCTGTCCGCTACAGTCATTCCTTCTCCGGCGGAGTTATAATTCTCGCTTGTCTCTTTTATCTTCACTTTATTCGATCATAATACCCTACTTCCAGATGTGCAAGCGTACATACTTTGCTAGAAACTCGAGCAAGCCTGGGCGAGAATGATCCCGCTAAACGCGAGCAGACCTGATCGCGAATGATCGTGTATGATCGGCTCATACATATCGTTGCTATCCTATAGTTTCTGTGTACCCTCGCCATCAATTTCTTTGTTACTTTTTAACGTGACTTGGTTTGGTGCGAGTGGCTGGTTGGCGTGACGTGGCAACAAGAACAACGTGGAAAAGTCTGCGCCGTTGTTTTTGGCGCCCGCCCTCAACGTGACGCAAGTCCGAAGCGAAGCGGCCGCACCAAACCACGTCATGTTGAAAGTAAGGGATCGTTCAGATCGCGCACAAAGGCGCACAAAGGCGCACGAAGGCGTGTGTGTGTGTCGAGATGAACGAGACGAGACGTGCCTTCGTGCGCCTTTGTGCGCCTTTGTGCGCCTTTGTGCGTTTTCGTGCGCTTTTGTGCGCCTTTGCGCGCGGTCTGAACGATCCCTAACAAAGAAATTGACGGCGAGGGTAAATGGTTGCCTTTTTTATATTGGTTGAATTACTGAATGTAAAATGTTTGAATCTTTTAATATTTAAGTTGAAGTAATCAATTCTATTACACCGTCTTGAGTGATTCGTTGTTTACTTTTTCAAATATACAAATCAAGATAGTTACAGTTACATATTGTAAGTGCAGGGTGAGTAATAAGATCTCTCAGATGTTTTCAAATTTTTAGCTATTAAAGCTTTGTGTTTAATGTCCCAGGTTCTCTCCTCGCCCTTTGCATACAGATCGGTGGTGCGATAACTCGACGAGCAGAGCATAAACACCAGAGGCGGAACAGTACGGCAGTAGGTGAATGGACGTCTGGCGACGTCTTTGGGTCGCCAGACCCGTCTCTCGTAATTCATTCAGGATCTTCACCTCTAATTGATCTCGATCGTGTTCTTGTTGATGTTGATGTATTGTCGTTCCAGGCTTGCCCACAAATGTATATCTCGTTGATGTGTTGGTTTGCTGTACAGTTGAGGCTAGTAATTAGTGGGGGCAAGTTATAAGGCCCGATCAGAAAGAGGCTGATCATGGTTCCTTTAGAATATGTTTGAATGTGTAGCATTTATTTGAAGTTTTAATCGTGGACTTTCTTAACTAACTTACCGACAGCATCTCCTTCCATGTTGAATAAGCAATAGATCATCTATATACGGTAATTATTGACATCTATGATTATTTAAATTTGGCATTTTTTTGCGATACTTTGAAGTATTACTTGTACCAAGAAAGTGTAAGATCAGCTAGTAATAGGCTGAAGTTACAGTCTACTCCAATCCTGATCAGGCCAAAACTGGCATGACGGGAGTTCGCTTCGCGAGGCTTTTGCGTCACGCCTACGGCCTGCTTGTCTGCCCTCACTTCAATCTCTTCGCTCTCCCCGGCACTTCGCATATGCGGTCCACCTCCAGCACTGCGAGCGCTCAATTCACCCCAACAGTTCGGCCTGATCCAGGATAGGCAGACTATACCACACCTTAAAAGCAGCGCCCGGCAAATGACTACCGGTATTCTACAGTGTTGCAATGGTAGACCCTTCATCTAATCTATCAGTGAAGTCTCAAGCGAAAAAAGCGCTTCTGGAAAGCTCAAAACCTGCTCAGGAAGTCTTCCGGACCTCGCCCACTTCCGGACTTTGCCCACTTCTTACACGTGATTTGGAGCCACGCGGACATGAAAAGCTTCGAAAAAAAGCTCATTTTTGCCGTTTCACGCACTGAAAAACTCAGATATGGTTCAGCATAGCGATAATGCTCCGAGGAGGTGACCGGAACGCGAAATTTTTTTTGGGACACTGCCTTTGAGGATCTCCAATTTTCTGCTAAAGTATAAATGATGAAGCGACAAAAAGTGTCTTCTAGAAAATAATCTACCAAATATTGTAGATCTGCCAAAGTAGAAAATCTGGTTCTTGTATTCGAGTGTGTCATGTCGGCTGTAATATATATTATTGTTTCCTACATGATGTAATTTTCATTTACGTTGTTGAAAAATGTTGTAGGATTTCTTTCACACTATAATTCATAACGTCATGTGGTAGGCTTGTAAACATAATGAAATCCGCTGAAAAAAATCTTCATCTCTCATGTTGATATTTGCTAGACTTTCGCTGATGTTAGTATTATTCATGACCCAGAAGCCAGAAGAGTTTCAATGCCGTGGACGACAATTTCCCCATTCGTGCCTGCAATCGTACCAAGAAGGATCTTCAAACTGTGACATTTAGTCCACTCGATCCGCTTGTGCTTCATCCATTTCGCTAGTGGTCGAATTAGCGAACTAACTAATATCGAAGCAGTTGTCCACTTGATCCTGGTTCACTTCATCCACTTCGCTATTGGTCAGTTAACTGATTTGACCAATAGCGAAGTGGATAAAGTGGGTCAAGCGGATCGGATCAAATGCATAACGCGCGTTCGTGGTCAGTGATATATGCTCCCAGTAACAATTGTCCTAATGCACGCCTTTCGTGCTAGACACCGTTTCCTTGATAGCATTGTATTAGGGCGTCCCAAAAATATTCGCTTCTTCTACAAGCGCCACACTCTGCAGAACAAACGTTTATAGGAGATCTTGGCAGCAATCGATGCAGTCTTTCATACTCTTTCAAAAGGTTATCTTTATATTGCAGTCCAACTAACGAGCTTTCAGAAAATTACCAAAAATTGATCCATGATTTTCACCAAAGTCAATTTTTGCCAATTTTTTTTTGATTTTTTGTATTAACCGAAAAGTCCAAGTGCTCGATAAAAATTGAACAATTCTATAGGATACAAATCAATTTTTCCCCTTCCATAGCCTACTTTTAAAAAACTACAATTTTTTTTTGGTGCTATCAAATTCCATACATGGTCAACTCTCCTAGAACATCAACCGGCGAGCAACTCGGGTGTTATTCGAGGCAAAATTCTCTCCCCTTTCAAACGGATGCTTTTTGTTTCTGATTCGTAAAGTCTTGGGGGCTAAAATCACTACTATTTGTATTTTTAAAGAGACCCTGAGCCGGAATCCAAGGTTTCATATCTCGATTCCCTAAACGCTCATTTGTTTTGTAGAATTAGTGCTGAATCATAACCCACTTTTGAAAGTTGGTTCATTTTTAAAATCGTGACGACGAGTCTAACTGCGGTCTTTGCGCAACAAGAGCATAAAACACCCATACAGACAGGCATTACCTCAAGCTCTCAGGCACTTCCAGTGTCTGTATACTATCATATGCAGGCAGAAAAACCATTCGAGTAGAGATAGAAACCAAGAAGTGGAAGTGCGTGTGTGTCGCGCGCGGTCGCGCCATCGTCACGGTTTTTCAAATGCCTTATACTTAGAACTTTGAATTTGTTGGTGTTGAGTGTGTCTCTGAAATAGATCTGCTGAAATTCGTGGTGTTGTTAAATATTCCGTCAAAAAAATAAGGCGAATTATGATGGAGGAGATCAACATTGTTTTGTATCCTATAGGGTTTGCTCTATATACCCGTTACTTGGACTTCTTCAAGAATCAGTGCAAAAAGAGATAATAGCGAAGTTTGACCTATGTCAAAACCATGTGCCGTAGTTCTTGATAAGTTTCTGTAAGCTAGTTTGTTGAACTGCAGTAAAGGATAATCATTTGAAAGAGCATGAAAAATTGCATTGATTGCTGCCAAGATCTTCTATAAACTTTCGTTCCGCGGAATGTAGCGCTTGCTCAATAAAGCAAATTATTTTGGGAAGACCTAATAATATTATGCTTCACATATGTGACTAGTACATAAGATTTATGACCAGTGTTACATCATAGGCAGGCACATTGAGGAGATTACAGAGCACGAGTACTAAGAAAGTAAAATGTATGAACATATGTACAGTGGTGAAACCCGTAGGCATTTGCAAGAGATCAACTACCTTAACAACTATATGAGAGATCGTTGTCTCACTAAGCAAAGTCAATGCAGGTGAAACAGTAAAAGATACTCAAAAAATTAAGAATCAAAGAAAACACTACAGTCAAAAGAAAGGAAACACGATGTAAAAACTGGACAGGTCGTTTATAAAACGAATGTGAAGATAAAATAAACATTTTTCGGTGAAACAATGATTTTTATGAGGCATTATGCCACTATCGTGTACAGCAAAAGCAATCGTCATTTTTCTTTTTTGAAAAACTCATCCAACTTCTTCTTGACTGGCGGCTCCTTCACATTGCTTTTGGGAGCACGTTTTTTAGCACCTGGTTTTTTGTCGCGTTCGCCAGCAGCGGCTTTCAAGCGCTTTGCTTGCTCCAGTTTGTGAAAGTGGGCCAGCTCCTAAACTCATAATTCATAAAAACTAGGAACAGCAATGCCTAGTTATTGCGTTTGCTTCAAAAACCAGAGCATACGAAAGAAAAATAGAAACAATATGTGGTCCAGATATGTGTTAGAGTATTACTAAACATACCGCTTTGATATTCGCCGGTAGTTCTTCATATACAGATGACGATATGGCTCCAATGTCGCTCAATTCTACTGCGGGCAGTACAGGTGCATGATTTGAATCTTCTGTTGATTCAAACTTTGTTGGATCATAAACCTAAATACAAGAGGCATTTTTGTAGCAGAAAGACATAGCAACATACCTGCCATCCATCCTCATCCACTTTGACTTCAGGCTCTTCCTCTTTCTTGTTCTTCTTTTTGTAGGGCGAACTTTTTGGCGAGTTGCTAGCCGAGCCAGTGGCTGTAGACGTACTGGGTGCTTCCTTAGAGAAATTTATGAAAATAAACTATAGAGCAGCTAGAATGGGACTACTTACCAGATCTGCAGGTCGCTTCAAAACACCTTTAACAAATATTCTCGGTTCCGGCGGTGCAGTTGAGGGCGGCTGGAATAAACCTCGACCAGCCTCGCTTAGTTGTAAGCGTTTTTCTATCCACTCCATGATGTTCTGCGACTGTACGCTCAATCCATCAGTAAAGCGAGAAGCGCTCATGGATAAAGTATATACAGGCGGTGTCCTTAAAGATGGAAATTTAGCTAAACACAACCTTTGAATTAAGCTTGTAGGCAAACCCACAAAAGCAAAAGAAACTAACCACTGTTCGCTTCCTGAAGGCGCTTTATTGAATAATTTCGCTGCATTCCACATCACCTCAGCTATTGCCTGTGGAGCGTACGAACCGATTTTGAGAGTTCTCGACGTATGCGTTTCGTTCAGTATGCCAAAAATTACATTTTCTGCCGTTCTTTTGTTCTGAGTTGTACATCAGTGCACTCGAGATAAAGTAGGCTTCAAAAAAACGTTCTTACCTTAACTTGGTCCGCTACTAGTCTCTTAGACAGCTCTTTAGACAGACCTTCAATCCACCTAAAAAAGGTTTTTGAACATAACAGAGCTACTGGTCAAAGAACAACGAAGGATGAAAAATGTGTGAAAATAAGTGATGATAAAATTATGAAAATGGCGAACACTTCTTTGTAAGAAGAAATCCGGATTTGAAATACCTGTTATTAAGGAATCAAAAGACAAAAAAAGTGAGCGGCTCAATGGACCTCACCTGCGTACTTCAGCTACGGTGGTCAGAGCATTTTTCCCAGGAAAGGTCTTGCTGACTGCAATGGAAAGCTGGTTGTTGCGTGGTTTTACCTAAATCAACATATGCAAAATGCATTTTGTCATCTCAACCGGAAAGAAATAATCTTTCTCAAAATGACCAATGTTAACCTACGGGTTCATCATCTAGTCCCTTGGCCAGCTGACTGATCCATTGTGCTTGATCACCAAAGTGCCGTTCAATGAGATCATAAGGTACTGCTGCCAAATCGGCCATAGTCTGGAAAAAACTGTCACAACTTTTCCGGGTTTGTCAAAACACCTTACATACCCCCACACCCAGCTTTTGTTGTATAGAATTGCCAAGCTTCCCTCCCAACATTCGAACATCTCCAATGGGAGTCTCTTCGAAAAGGACTGGTACGAAATCAAATGGAATCACAGTTTGTTGACGAGGCTTATGTCGTGCACACACTAGTTTGGCAAGCATCTAGAAATTTCAATAGTTTTTAGACAGTCAAATAAGAACAGAAGAACATGGAACTTCAGAATTACTCAAACTGTAAAGTGAGTGACAACGAAAACAGACATAAGCATGAACAGATCCCAATTCTTGCATTAGAACTTGAATTTCCAAAGCTACAAATAATACTGACAACCTGTGGTTTTCAAGGTTGATATATCATCTATTATTAGCTCTACAATTGAACTTCAACTCCAGTTCATCCCTTATTCATTTAGCTTTGTTAGCACGAACAAGGTAAGTTAAATCAAACAAAAAATCCACCAACAGAACAAAAATTCGATGAGAAAGAATCCATAATCTATTATTGCATATCCGTTGCCTACCTTATTGTTTGCAATTCCACCTGAACAGAAAAACTGTGTAGACTCCTTTATCCGTGCACGTATTTGCTCTATTGCTTCTGCGGCCACGGCAAGTCGTAACTAAATTTCAAAGAAGCTGGAAAACGCATAAGTGTGAAACACAAAACATTTTCTTCCAAAAAGGCAAATAATCAAACAAACATGACTGATATCCCTCGCACATCGCATGTCGAGCCAACTTTTGATGTTTGCCTCACGATTATACACGTCCTCACCACCTTTATCGCTTCCATCTGCCAAATGAGTAGTAGGTAGAGTAACTGAGACATTGCTCGAGATCTAAGTTTCATAAGTAGCAAACTTTTCTTGAGTAGGCATGGTCAAAAAATAGGGTTTAAAATGTAAAAATCAAGTCAAATACAAGGATCTTTAGGCTTACATTTTGCAAAAGTTGTCCTGCTCCTTCTTCCAAAATCTTCTTGTCTACAAAATCGGTAAGATCCAGAAATGCTTCATCAACTGACGCACGTTCTACAATAATCCGTTCGTCGAAGTTATTCAGTACATCAAAAACTTCGACGCTAGCATCTCTGGATTGGAAGGTTATTTGATAGTAACAATTGAAGAGTTGAATAAATTCAAGCAAGAAAGCTTTACCTGTACTTCTGAATGTCAGCCTTATCAATGTGTTCTCCTTGCGGAACAAAACAGACATTCAATTCTGGGCAAATCGCTTTTGCTTGAGGTATCATCATACCACGCTTTACTTTGTATTTTCTTGCCTCATAGCTCACCGCAATTATGCTAAAGCCGAAATAATCAGAGACAATGATGAAAAACGATAGACAAGCCCGCTCACCCTCCTGGAGATCCTTCCCTAGCATGTTGAACAACAGCGACAGGAGTCCCCCATAATTCAGGGCATTCACGTTGCTCCACTTGTACATAGAAACAATCCATGTCGATAAGTCCAATGATGCGATCCATTGCCAAGATATACAGATAAGTCCATACAAATGAAATCTGCAAAAAAATCGCAGCTGAAAGCTGCTTTTATATCAGACATAATGGTCACACGAAATAAAACCCATGATCTGCTTTGATGGTGGCCGTTTCTCAGCTATTTTAATGACAGTCTACTGAGAATGAACGTTGAAAACGAAGGAGGCGCTATGGAATAAAGGAAAAACACGAGACGCTCTACGGAGATTACTTGCGCCAATGCGACCTCATTTTCTTGGCGGGAACTACAAGGATTGAACGCGGGTGTAGTCCGGAAGGCGACAAAACCCAGTTGGAGCGAGCGTATGGAGGCGGCCACGCCCCTCACGAGCGCCTGTGACACCGAGCTCAAGGTCAATCATGCCAGAGACTGACGCTCTTTTGGCACACGCGCTGGCGCACTAATGGTGACAGCATTCTCCGGAGTTCCAAATGACTGCCCTTGTTGCGTAGGGTAAAATTGTTGGTCAGATATGGGCTAAGCGCTGTATGGAGTATACTTTGATCCTATTTATCTTTTTCTTGAATACTTGTCCATAAGTTTGGTAGTGTAAGTTTTATTTTCTTACTAGTTCAAGATCAAACGTAACAGACCTACGGAACGGGTCAATGTAGCTCTGGACAAATGAGAAGAATTTAATCGCAGCTCATCATCCAACGAAAGGGATATAAGAAAATCATTCTCTTCGAAAGCGCGTTCTTGTGATCTAAGAGTACAGTTTCTCTGCGTTTTTCTTTCCTTTGATTTACAAAAGTCGATTTTTATATCCAGATTCATAGATCCAAATATTTCCACTGAATTGGAGGAAACAATACCTGAACTTGGGCAACTGGGTAACTTGTTTACTAATAGGTAGCTGGCTTCTCATGCAAAAATTTACCATGCCAATTTTGACCATGGTTAATGAATATATGGCATAAAAATGTTTCAGCTTTCGTTTCTTTAACACGTTGACGACCGCGCCATTTTGGGCGAAACTCCCACTAACGTCCTTCGCGCATTTGGCTCGTGCATACGCGCGGATGCACGAAAACATTATGTGGGAGTCCTTTTGACGCTTATTCATAAAACATGTGAACTTTGTTCAGAGGTACATGTATATCACAGAGCCTTACCAGAACTTACACAAATCAAGGTTTTTGCGTGGATTTTCCCTCCCAATAACCGCGCAATCGCTATATTGGAGGAATTTCTTTTCATAAAAACCGCCGTAATACCAGGTATTTTTTGCTTGATTCATCCTTTTTTGCTTTCAAAACAGCTTTACAGAGTTTTAACCTTTTCGGAAAAACGTAATTAGCATGTGTTTACCTTACCAATTGAGCTTGTCATGAGCAATAATCAGGACATGACAAATGCAGAGTGTTATTGCTCAGATAGACGAGTCAAAGCGATCCTACTGTTGCAAAGCAGCTACCTTTGGCTAGAAGGAATACAGAATCTTTTTCCTGAAGTCAAAACTGTCTTTACTCAACTCGCCAAGCAATCTCGCAATTGTTTTCATAATCAGTTCTTTCCTTTAACCTTTCTCCTGCTTTTTTGCACTGTTGTCTGTTCTACAGTTTAAACGATAATACTTTATTCTCAATTGAAAAAAACGGGCAGCGATACTACCAATAAGAAAAGGGAATGGTTATCATCAGTGACATATTACAGTGTAGCAAAGCTAAATCAAGAAAAAGGAGCTCAAAAACGAGATCTCACCGCAAATGGCATCCTTGCTGGAAGTGCTCCAAATCTCCTTCTACGTTCAGCCTGAAGAAAAGTCGAATTGTCAAGAAAATGCAAGTGGATAAATAACTCACCTTTACTTGATTAGCTTACAGTACGGTTGCTGAGTGGAACTTTACTCACATTCTATCTACTCCACATCATAAACTTGAACGGCTCTGCACAATAACCAATTAACATGTAAAAAATAGGGTATGTGGTTAACTTTGTATGACAAAATAGAATTGTCACTCAAAAAGCGGAAATATACTAACCTCTTTACTATGATGATCTCACTTGCACTTTATATACTGCTTGCGGAGCCTGAAAAAAATTTCTACGAGACAGTTCTGAAGAGCATATGTTCACGGATAGGCAAATGCAAAGAAAGCAAATTATCACATCCACAGTGATCAATAATATGTAACACAACGGAACAAAAGCAACTGTTAAAAAAACCATGTGAGAAACAGCAAAATCAGAGGAGAATGAGACATGAGCAACGTGTATAAAGGCGCCCCAATCCAAATATCCAGAGCATTGTAGCGACGATAAACTCGGACAGGGCGTGGCCACTAGCTGCGCCTGTTCTAGGTCATTTGTCGCCTTCCGGACGTTCCCCATTGAACGCTATATTAGGGTACTATATATCACGTACCATTTGATTCAACTGGCTTGGCATCGAAAAAGGCGGGGCTTCGTGACCTAATTAAGGCTAGGTCATGATCAGAGAGCACTCGCGCGAGAGAGACGCAGATGCGTCGCGAGCGCGAGCGGCCTCAATTAGATCACAAAACCCCGCCCTAATGGTGCCAAGCCAGTTGAATCAAATGTTAGTTACCGTTTTTACTACAACCGTCGTCTTTTTGTATCTTACCTTTAATTGATGTGGCTTAGGTTCTTTTATTACTTAGTTTTTTATTATTTATTATTTAATTATTAATTTTAGTTTTAGTGATTATTCCTCATTATTTAATTTTTTTTATTTGACAGGGCAAAGCAAACTCTACAAGATGGCTGTCAAGAGTTTGCCCAAATCGTATTCCATGTGAAGTTTAGAGCTGAAATTTGATAGCAGTCGAAAAAGAACTGATCTTTTTTAGATCCTTTCTTTGCAAGAACTATTGGAGAGGCGAATTTGCTAGTGATTGGTTCGATAATGTAGTAATAATAAAGTACGCAACACCTCTTCAATCTGACGTTTTATTTCGTTACGCTTTTCCAATAGGGTCTCTGTTTTGGAGTTACTCAAACCTTTCTTAGGTGCAGCATCGTATGTACTTTAGAAGATTTATTCCGCGTTTTGCTATAATTTACCATCTTGAACAAACTTGTTATAAAAGATGCTGCGTTTATTTGGAATAAGGAGTAAGAAACAGCATTCCAAGCATCAAAGCACACCCTAGTGGATGCACCTGTTTTAGTGCCTCCTATTCTAGGAACACCTTATATTTTCCACACCGATGCATCAACCATCGGTCTCGGCGCATGCCTCCTCCTACAAGTCAATCCGGAGACTAGTAATGAGCACTTCCATCACATATTGCAGCCGTCCATTAATAAAGCACGAGAAGAACTACGCAATCATTGAGTTAGAAGTTTTAGCAATGGTTTTTGCCCTAAAACACTTCTATCCTTACGTTATACGTTCAACGTTATAGAACTATTGGCAACGTAGTTCTATAACGTTGATAACCGATCATGCAACGCTAAAATCGTTGAAGCATAGATCAAATCTCGTGGGTCGTCTTGCTAATTATCAAATAACCTTGCAAGCATACGACATAAAAATTAAGTATCGTGCTGGAAAGCACAACACTCTATGCGACTTTCTCAGTCGCTACCCAGTTCCAAGTGCAAATACCATTCAAATCCAAGCAGTTCCATCTTTGAGCGAATTTCAGCAGTCTCAGATCAACTCCGAATACGAAGAATTGATCAAATTTTACAAAAACAAACTCGCTTGTCCGCCTGACAATTTTTCTGACAACATAGAGAGTTAATTTTTCTTCAACAATTCACTTTATTTTAAACACAACAACAGACCTCAACTCATCGTAGTCCACTTTTACAGTATAGAATTATCCAAATTTTGCATAGCAATCCTTTGCTCGGATCTCACTTAGGAGTGAGAAAAACGACTGATACCACTAATGAATATTACTAGAAGAATATGCATGCCGAAATAGCCCAATTTGTAAAAAATTGTTCTGCTTGTCAGAAAATCAAGACACCGTCTGGTAATATATCGCGAAGAGTTGGGTGCCTTCACACTGACATAGTTGGTCCTTTAGCCCACCGTATGAATGGAAACAGATTCATTTTCATTACCGTTTGCGCGTTCAGCAAGCTGATCACTTGTACTGCAATCGCTGATCAAACCACAGATACTGTAGTAAAAGCTCTG